TAAGAATGATTCAGGCTTAGTTACTAATACTCTAATCCTAACTCCTAATAATATACTCCCTCAATAATAATCACACAATTACGTTTCTACTAAGCCTGAATCATTCTTAATAATCTGTTTATTATAAATGTATAAAATATAAACTTTCTTCATCCTTTATTAAGACTATTAAAAGTGTAGTTAATCTTATAAAGTTGTTGCCAGATTATATTCAAATCATCTTAAGTACAGCAGCACAACATTTCATGATTTTGAGTCGGTTTGTATTAAAATCTGGAAATGAAATTACAAATACAAACTTACCAAGAATATCTGCACTTAAGCACATCGGCTAAAGGCATTAAACATGATGTAACCTTTTTTCTGGCTTAAATGGTTATGTTTATGTCTTTTATGATTTATGTATTTGGCATAAAACATCTCTATCTCCATGTAGACAAGAAGCTGGCATCACCAGGTCAAGAAACAGGTCAGATCTGTGGAAACTGGAAAGATAAGTCCACTTACAGTAAGAAAACATTTAATGCCATACTTTGGAACATTCTAGGAAAAGCAATAACATCTTTATGGGCACAATCAAAACGTTACAAAGTGCAGCTTTAATTTTCCAGAGATCATCGGACTTGGCTGCTCTGGATTCCAATCGAAAATGTACTGGCCAAGAAATAAAAGCATATTTGTCGATTTCGAGAATTTAGGTCAGTGAATCCACTAAAAGGAAGCAAGCCACAGTACTGAGAATAAAGTCAAAATGATTAGGACACTGATGATGATTTATTGATGATTTATTAGGAAAAACTGTGCAGGGAATTACAAGAAAACAGCATCTTCACAAGTAAAAAGGAAGATTAAATTGTGCAGTAACTCCAAAAACTCCTTTCGTCTGTGGTCCATATAAACCCTTATAATCGTACTACAAGAATTAGTTGACTAATAGAAAATCTGTTCAACTGTGCGCTTCATTTTATTGCTGGGTTTCAGTCCATTCATATTTAATACAGATGCGGGCAGCTGAAGCGAATATTGTTCTGAACTTTAGATGCAGCGTTTTGTTGCAATACAGTGAGATCTTGGGTCTAGTCACTCAGAGAAATGATCATATTTAATTTAATCAATTGTAATTTTATCTTTTCGATATTTCATGGCAAAGTAGAATGTAATCAATAGGGAAAAACAATCCCTCGCCTCCATCTGAGAGTTTGACATCATCACATTGTCCAATCTGAAAAGCACCAATCTACAACATTTTGAGGACTCTTCATATTCCAAAGATGTAATATTTAGTTTTGTTTGCTAATCGCTATGACAATCGACCTGTTTTTTTTCATCATTTTGAAACTTGAGCATTGGATCTGTCACGATAATTGGTATATCAACTTATCGTTCAATATGTAAAAGATGGAACAATATTTTTAGGGGAGTCAAGAGTCATGTGTACATTTTCTTTCAGTGAATTTTTGTATTAGTTTTTAGTCATTTGATAGGATTTTATCTGTGAAAAGTTGAGTTAATGACTTCTATGACTCATTACAGACACAAACAAGCGCGATCAGAGGCATCGGTGGGGTCAGTTCATCACCACGGAAGCAGCTTATGAGGAGCCCAGCCCAGTGACTGTAGATCAGTGTGTTGTGTATCACCAGAAAAAGAAGAAATTGAAATTATTTTAGTTCCAATTAGAATTTTAACGACATACACTGAAAGAGAAAGGAACTGTTATAATTAGTGATTATCTTGCAAACTATTAATATTTTACTATACAAATGCATAGAATTATAAATAGATAATATTTTTTCTGAGATTTTGAGACCACTCCTGTTGCTCGAGCTCGATCCTTCGCAGAGTTATGACCAAAAACGCATATTTGACCTTGGTTACCTTGATCTTCATGTGACCTTGACCGGTTTCAACCTGTAACATCCAGTGTACCCCGGTTATGTGTGTGCCAACTTGTGAGATGATTGGGTGAATATTTTAGCCCGCAGATGGTTCAGAAGTTGCCAAAATTGTCTATCCTTTATAATGAGCTTTCAATTGACCCATGTGACCTCAAATGACCATCAAATTTGGTGAGAATCGGTCCATAAATTGCGGAATTATCGCGAGTGGACAGACGCACAGAAACACAGGGTGAATACAAAACCTCGTCAACCCTTCAGGGACCAGGTAACTAGTACTAAAGTGTTTCATTCTGCTGTTTATTTTTTGCACCTCACCTTTTTTTTAAACAATATTGTAGATTTAGAACAGTTTTTGTAGTTTAAACCTGTTGTTTAAGGTGTCAGTGCTGTAAATTAGTTTCAGTTTTCGTTTATCTATAGCAGGGGTGGGCAAACTACGGCCCGGGGTCCATATGCGGCCCTTTAATCTTCTTAATCTGACCCGCCGAACTTGATAACATTCAGTGTTTTTCAAAGTCATTTCAATAAATAGTAAATATCGCGGGGCCTGAAAGACAGATATTTAGTTGTAGAGCTTTGTAATGATTTTCAGTTATGGGATATTTCAATAACATGGGATATATTTTCTACGTATCCCATGTTATTTTTTTCTCTTATGAGGTGGATTACCTAAAAACTCCATCCATCAGCTCCTGGTTCGGCCCTTTTGTCAAATTTTAAAACCCTTTGTGGCCCTCGAGTCAAAAAGTTTCCCCGCCCCTGATCTATATTATATTATTTTCAGCAATACATCGGAGTTCAAAAATTGTTCTAACAGGTCTAATATGCCTGGAAATCTGCTACGCACATCACCTTAACTGACTGTCCATCTGAACCTCAGGAGACCCTCATAAAACACAGGCATGCAGGGCACAGAGCCTCTAAATACCACAGGGTGACAGCTATAGTTTTAGGGATGAGTTAGTGTCTAAGCTCCTCTGTCCAGCGGATCCTGCTGTCATCCACTGTCCCACACGAGAGCGGCGCAGATTATAGAGGTCAGAAGAGGAGACGCTGAAGTTCACATGAGTTTAAGAGGTGGTAGACTGTCGCGCAGAGACACACGGAGACCAACAGGGGGCGGTATACGAGGACCAGAGGCAGCGGACACACCCGGATCCAGAGCTGACATGAAAAAAGAGGAGTTTAACTTTAGATGCATGAGTGTGACAGTGCTAAGCAGGATAACAGCGCCATCTGTTGGTCAATTTGTAGTGGCTGAAGTTATGAAATTGTAAATTGAAAGTAAATTAATGGATAGAGTGACCAGATTTTCCAAAAAAAAACTGGGACATCCTTATTTTGGGTTGGTTGGTAATAATAAAATTGTGAAACGAGTGCGTAATTAAGGAACATTTTTATGCACGTGGCACTAATGTGGGTCAGTATAGTCACATTTTTTAATGTTTTGGTCATTTTTAAGCAACTTTTCTCTATTTTACCTAAACAAATAACAATGTATGCTTCTTTTTACTGTTGGAAGGGATCAAATTAGTCAAAAATAGGGACATTTTTTGTATAAAACTGGGACAAATCACTGGTTTTGGATGAATTTGCAGGGACAAGGGACACAGGGCTCAAAACTGGGACCGTCCTGGGTAAAGAGGGACGTCTGGTCACCTTATGAATACGGATGTAACAATAAATTAAATATCGTGATATTGTATCGTCAGAGTTCTCCCAATAATATCATGAACCATCACAATATATCGAATTACAAGTCTCTTTGCTTAAATTAAGAGTTAAGGTGCAGCAATAGCTAAAAAAAAGACATAGGGAACTACATAAACCATGATCCTTTGCTCCGTTTCAGTGTAGACGTGAAGAAATAACAGTTCTAAGCACTTTTAAGTCTTAGTTCTTTGGATTTTAAGAGGAAAAAGTAGCATATTAACAGTTTTAGCTGTTTAGTCTCCACAAAATATCGCAAAAATGTTGTACCGAGATTTTGATATCGTTACATCCCTAATCGTGAGCCTCCCCACCATATCGTGAGCTTTCCCACAATACTGCAATAAATATCGTACCGTGAGGTTCATACCATGACAATATTGTATCGTGAGACTTATGAATGGACCCACACACTAAGTTTTAAATGAATCAATATTCTGAGTTTCATGGTAGATAGAGACATGCACATTCAACAAAAATTGCGACTGCATGCTGGGTCCAAAGTCAAAAATTGTGCAAAAGATCCACACTGCAATAGTTTGAAGCACCTAAAACTTTATTTCAGTGACACCACAATGTGACGTTTCAGACTAGACATGAAACATCGCATTGTGGTGTCACTGAAAAAAAAAATTTGGGAGCTTCAAAGAACTGCAGTGCGGATCTCTTTCTTCTTTTGAACAGCAAGACAAGCATAAAATCAAAATAAGTTTAAGGTAATTCAGGCTGTGTAGCGTGTAGGGTTATATGGTGCTAGTTTCTGAATGGAGATTGATAGGAAGTGAGCATGGGGGCGATTCTGGCTCCATGACGCTGGCGACAATTAACTTTATGTACAAAAATGTCACTCCTTTCTCTGTAACTGCTGCAGTGAGCCTTGCCGTTTTGGTCTTAAAATGTTTGTTTTAACCCAACAGACATGATCCTGGTGTTTTTATTTCGCTATTTTATCCATCAATTCTTCTGCTCCACATTTGGTCCTATAACGGCCAGCCTCGGTGAGCTTCATTTGACTGCAGCCGAACGCTATGGGTGCACTTTTTTATACAGTCTATGGTCTAGAGCAGAGATATTCCAGTACTGTGTGGTTTGTGTGGGTGGGTCAGAGGTGAGGAGGGGGTGAGGTGTGAGGCTGGGGGGTGAGGAGTCATTGTGGGGGGTGAGGGTGGGGGGATAAGGAGGGTGCTGGGTGCTCAGGTGAGAGTCCCGTACCTGTACCTGAGAGGAGCAGGTCCGGAGCAGAGATATCCCAGTACTGTGGGGTTTGTGTGGGTGGGTCAGAGGTGAGGAGGGGGTGTCAGGTGTGAGGGTGGGGGGTGAGGAGGGTGCTGGGTGCTCAGGTGAGAGTCCTGTACCTGAGAGAAGCAGGTGTGGAGCAGAGGAGCAGACATGTCCCAGCTGAAGGAGACACAGGGGAACCCGGAGTTGTACGCTGAGATGGCGACAGTCAGCTCCACTGCAGGTAAGAGACAAATAAACACAAAATACAACATCATTTTGTTACTTTATTTCACTTCATTTTAGTACTGATGATTGGTCCTGCACAGTCGTATATAACATGAAATTCGGATTATTTGGTAGCAGCGCTTGTATTTGGTATTGTAAAAACGTATCACCAATAACATACAATAAGTTTTCTGTGTAGGTTATTGTTATGAAATTGCAACTTTTAAAAAGCAATAAAAAACTAAAGCAGTCTGGATGTAAGGAGACATGTTTTTCAACGCAACATGCTTTTGTTTTAATATATTTTTAGAGCTAAAATGACGTGGTTGACCTGGATGCTCCCATTTTTGAGCTGACATAAGGAAAGAAACCTAAATTTACAGCTGCCATTTCAAAACAAACTTAGCAAATACATATTTCAAAAGGGGAAACAAATTTAAAAAGATTGTTATAGAATGTTACTCTAATAGTTTTGATTTGTTGGCACGTGGTAATTAAGAAATTGCACGCTTTAAATTAAGAAAATTAAAGTTGTACAAGAGTTTAGATAGCACCTCTCCATTAATCTGATGAGCTGGATGAGTGGACGTCTCTGCAGATTAGTGACTTTGTGCCGTAATCTGGTTTAAACCTGGTCGGTTCTGGTGTCTGCTTCTCACGAGTGTTTGTTCTCCTCTAAATCTGGAAGATCTCGGGTGTCCATTCTCCGGCTGGGCACTCCGCAGACGTGTAATCCCTCTTTTGGAATACTTTTGGGACTGTTTTTGGATTGTGCTGTCCTTCTCTGTCCTCAAAACACATGTTGGGAAGATAAAGTGAGCAGTGTCAACAGCAGCTGTTGATTTCTGCACTGGCCTGTACTGCCCTACAAAAACAGAACGACGTAACATCATGTTGGGTCAAAAATTAGTTCATGTCTTTTTGGGGGTATTTGAGACCTCCTTTATCATGTGAATAAATATTGTGAACAATATTGAGCTCAAAATTGCTCTTTGACCCTTATTTGTCAGTTCCTATTCTCTTCCTTTGTATGATGAGCCAAAAATAAGGAGTCGTGCAAAGCTGGAACTGACAAAAATGAAAAGGTTTGTTTTACATTCTGGTGAGTTACGGTCTTTTACCTTTGTATTGCAGTGTTACTGACAACAGCAGACAACAAACACATAGACAATGGTGAACAAGAAAATGACAGACCTGCAAACTCCTCAGAGAAAAAAAGGTGACAGTGTCCGACGGTCGCAAATGGGGGTGTAACATGAGAGCTTTAATTCCAATTAAAAATAATTTAATTCAAAATGAAAAATACTTCCGCTTCAAAAAGACAATGTAAACGCTTTATTCCTAATGATTATTTGGAATTAAACTTATTCGGAATTAAACTTACAGCCGAATTAAGTGGGTGGTTTATTCCGATTTTAAAGTCAAATTAATTTATTCTGCAGTCATGTAAATGTTTATTCTTCTTAAAAAATAATTCCAGTCTATTTAAATCAGAATTTAAAAAACACCCCCAAAACTCTAGGGTCTATGCGATTCACGTGAATGACCCAACTGCCAACTGACCAAGAAAAAGGCGATTGTGGCCAAAAAGAGACAAGTTTGCAGGTCTGAAATGACTACAAAAGTCTGTTTAGTTGTGGATTTGGCAACACAAAATCAGCTTCAGGTCAAACAAATTAACAACAGATAGATCTAAATATATTAAAGAGGCACTGTGTAGATTTCCGGGTGTATTTTAGGTGTAGTAAGGCGACAAATATATATTTTTTCTGTTCTCCTGTCTTGTGCACAGACATAGAGGCTGGTCGGAGGCCTCCCCTGTATGGCAGTCCTGTTTTGCCCGGTGATGGTCGGAGGGGCAGAGCGTACCCCTCCCCGTCCCGCAGACGCCACCGCACCACCTTCAGCCACAGGCAACTGCAGCAGCTGGAGGAGGCCTTTGGGATGAACCAGTATCCGGACATTTACCACCGAGAGGAGCTGGCCCGAGCCACGAAACTCAACGAGGCACGCATACAGGTCAGGACAGAAACTACAGATGTACAGAGACGCACAACACACAAAAACTACAGGTGTACAAGTACGCACAACATATAAGTCTGAAACAAATCTACTGGCATATTCCTGGGTTTCAGCTTCCTGTTATATTCAACAATTTTTAGACCTTCCCTATTCAAGACATTATATTTTGTTAAAAAATTGTTAATCGCCATGGCAACGGTCCTAATTCTTCTATTATGATCGCTCAGATAGCTCAGTTTCCTTGTATGTTTGAATAAGAGCCCCTCGTCTGTCGTCCGCCTCAGGTTTGGTTCCAGAACAGACGAGCCAAGCAGAGGAAGAAGGAGCGAGCGTCCCAGAAGGTGCTCTCTGTGCTGGGGGGGCACCGGGCTCTGCTGGGGGGCGTGTCTCTACCACCAGGGAGCATCAGTCGTCAGTTTTACCCCCAGCCGCTGCCACACCTGCCCCGCCTGCCCCCCATGCTCCAGCCCGGGCCGTACCCCAGACACCCCTGTACCACGGGCGGGCACCAGAACCCCCCTCAGATGCAGCACGAGGACTGGTACGGGCCCCTCCGAACCAACCTGCCCCCTCCTGTGTTCTCCCTGACGCCTGTGCAGTCGCTCGATACTGCCCCCCACTGGAGCTAAAGGGAACAGGCAGGTTTCACATGGTCGTTTGTAGTGAGGTCCCTGAGCCTGAACTTTGTTTATTTTATTTAAATGTAGTTTACGTGTCCTAAAATCACTTTAGTATGTGTAGTTAGTCATATATTACACAACTGATTAGTTTTAATCTCGTCTTCCTAGGTTCATAGAAAACATTTACTGAAATTCTTTCAAACATTATTTTAAAGATTTTTTATTTACAGAAAAAAATGCCATCTATCACTGCCTAATTTTGTTTCATTATTTTATTATTTTCTATTTTTTTTAGAGATTAATCATAAAAAATGAAATAAAGAAATGTCTCAATTAATTGTAAAGTTTATTTTGCAATATATATTTGACATAACAGAGACAACACAGTTGCGTCTGTGATGTTTTTACACTTTTAAATACGTACATTCAGTCATCTGAATGAATCAAGTCAACACTGAGGCATAAACACATTTCACACAAACAGATGAGACGTGAAACAACTAGAAATGTTGAAATATTTAGACACAGAGCTCACATTCTGAAATGTATCTGTGCTAAAGGCAGCAAACTTCTGAAGAGCCATAGATCTGTATAGAAAACTCAAAGCAAATCAGATTTTACTAAATGTAAACGTCAAATGAGAGCTACAGCATCACATGGTGAATGGTGAAAAGATTTGAGAGCGACAATTTGCACTGTTAAATATTTCACACACACTCCTGTGTTTTGGATCAAACCCAACGATGGACTGGACCAATCACAGAGCAGCTCCGTGGTCCAAATGATTCAAAACAAACATGGAGGCAACAAAGGCACATAAGCTGCTGTTTTAACAGAACTATTACATTTTGAATATTAGCAGACCATTTCACAGGTCTGTGCTTTTCTGCAAACAGGATGTGGCAAAAGTTTGATTAATCAGGGAAACCATCAGTAGCTCACCACACTAGAAAAGACTAAACGGGTTCTAACTTTATCTTACAGTGTAAAAAGTTCAAAATGTACATTCTCTCAGAAATGATTCTAATCTTGAATATGAGCCGGACTGAAATGCTGCATGAATCTGTCAGTGTAAACAAAACAACACACTCTGCTGTAAAAGACTAAAGGCCACAAAGATCCACTCTCATCATCGCACAAAACACAAAACTCACTCACTCGTTTGGTCCATGAAGCTGGTTCAACAACTGAGCTCAGATTTTTAATAATTCTGTAGATCTGGGCTGATTCTGGTCTGTAGATCTCCTCAACTTTGACAGAGTCTCTTTTATATCGATAAAAATGGACCAGTTGAATCTGAAAACCAGTTGAAAGTCTGTATACCTTAAGTAGCTTCATTATCTGTGGTCTATTGAATAAAAGAGGAAATTGGACAGAAGTGTGTCAAAACCATTATGCAAATCAGTGCACACAAGGCAGATTGTTATTGTAAACTACAGAACATGAAAAGTCAAAATGGTCAATTAAAAAAACAACATTGACAAATTAAAGCTATAAATCTAAGAGGCAGTCTTGTGCGTGGTCTCCAAAATCTCCTGACGAACTGTTGGCAGGAAACAACATGTGCTAAACTGTACTATTATTCTGAATCCGTGTATCATTTGTTCATTTGCTTTTCAAAATAAAACCAAAAATAAGAAAATGAAAAAACAACTATTTTCTTCATTATTTCTCTCTAAAACCAAAATGAAAAAACAGATAACGATTTGTTTTTTCAGTTTTCCATTTTGCGTTTAAATGAAAAATGGAAAAAAACGGACAACGGCCGTTTCCCGTTTACGTGACTTCCGTGACTGCGATGCCAGACTGAACCAGGACCAAACCAGGTCCGGGACCAGACCAGGACTGAGATCAGGACCAGACAGTGATTGAAACCTGGACTAGACTGGGATCTGACCAAGACTGAAAACGGATTAGATCGGGTTTAGTCCTTAGACTGAAATCAAACCAGAACTTAGACCAGGACTGAGACCAGGACTTAGACCGAGATCAAACAGAACTGAGACCAGAACTGAGACCAGGATTAAGACCAGGACCAGACCGAGACCAGACCGGGACTGAAACCGGGACCAAACCAGGACCAGGGCCGAGACTGGGATCAGACCAGGACTGAAAACAGTTTAGACCTGGTTTAGTCCTGTTTCAGTCCTGGTTCAGTCCTGGTTCAGTCCGGCATCGCAGTTTAAGTCACGTAAACGGGATACGGACGTTATCGTTTTTTTCCATTTTTCATTTAAACACAAAAATCGAAAACTGAAAAAACAAATCGTGATCTGTTTTTTTCATCTTGGATTTGGAGACAAATAATGAAGAAAACTGTTGCTTTTTTGTTTTCTGACTTTTGGTTTTATACTGAAAAACAAATGAACGAACGATACACGGATAATTTTGGCTCCATTTAAAAGAGTTGCTTTCATTTTCAGACCTAGTTCTTAATTCCTAGTAGAAAATGAACAGCTCGATACTCTCTCTGCAATGATATTTTTGCAATCCACCAGACCAAAAATGCCAGTGCCATTAAATATCTTCAAAAAGTAGTAAAAGGAAAGATAAAAAATGAGCAGAAAAGAAACATAACAGTTAAATTATCCAAACAAGTTTATGCTTAATTTCACAGTTCATTCAAATTGAGTGCAATACTTAAAATTCAAAAACAAAAGACATCTACCGGCACGTTTCTGAAGGATTGCAAAAATATAGTTCATCAATATTTGTTTTTGTCAGTATATTAAAAGGTGCTCAGTGTAACTTTTCTGCCAGTCTCTATAGAAATAATTACCGTATTTTTTGGACTATAAGTTGCACTTTTTTTCATGGTTTGGTTGTTTCCTGTGACTTATACTCCAGTGCGACTTATATATTAAAATTTTCACTCTGACAGCCGCGAGAGGCTCTAGTCTTGTGTGTCACTATCACTATTACTCCTGTATCACTGTCACTTCACTCTACTGCGCATGTCTCCTGTAGAAAAAGCCGCTGTCCTGCTATAAGTAGTGAAATATTTAGCCGAAAACGGTAATCGAGCAGCAGAAAGAAAGTTTGAAGTGAGCGAGAAACCTGTGACAGGTTCACTGAAATTTTCCTGGAAGTCACTGGATAGATCGACAAAGCCTGGAACTTCAGTGACAACCAAAACCATCCTGTCGGGAATTCAGAAATGCCAGGAATAATTCTAACTGGAACTGATGCTGAGTCTGACGACAGCTACACAGAAGAGGAAGCGGCTCTCTGGTTTACCTCTGGAGGTCGTGGAGTTGCTCAGAAGTGACACTGAGGATAAAGAATTCAATGGATTTAGTGATTTGGAGTGAGATGGAGAGTTTGTTAAACCTGTTCTGTTCTGTTGTTTATGTTATAGTTTATCTGAAGAACTGTTCATATGTGACGTTAACAGTCTGTTGTTCTCTGTTCTATTGTTATTTCTATAACTTGCTTTTCAAGATGAAATGTCGGTTCCTGGTCTCTGATTTTATAAAATACATTTCCCCAAAAAGTGCGATTTATAATCCAGTGTGACTTATGTTTTTTTCTTCTTCATCGCTCATTTTTTGGCTGGAGCGACTTATAGTTTGGAAAATACGGTAATATAAACATAAATTCAATGCATTTCTAGCAATAAAAACACCGTAGCTGAACACAAATGAGCAAGTTTAAAGCCGTACTGTGGAACACACTAAACAAAATATTTCCACAGAGACAGGAGGCAGAAAACTTACATAATGCACCTTTAAAACATTAGGTAATTCTCAAACTGTGGTGTGTGTGCTAGTTCAGGTTGTACACGTAATTCCCTTCAGTTCGATTTTAGTTCTAGTTTCAATTTTATTCATATTTTTATCCTTCTTTGGGTTGTTTAGAGCTTCCGTAGTCCCATTTTAGGTCTGATTTTGCCCTAGTTTAGTGTCCTGCTGTAGACCTGCTTTAGATCTTGTGGGACTTTGAAGGCTAAATATTTTCGTAGGTGGTACTTGGTGTGAAATGTTTGATTGTTTGACTGTTGTAGATGAAATATCGGCCACCTCTAGTTTTAAGTTTCTAGTTCCTGGTGACGTTTTGTGTGCGCTCACAGTCTTAGAGCTGAAATAAGTCCGTGTCACAAGGGGGTCACAGACTTTACTCGAGGGATTTGGCGAACTCTGCGTAGTCGATGTATCCGTCGTTGTTTTTGTCGTCATCTTTGAGAACGTCGTCGATGAGGGTGATCAGGTCTTCCTCCTTCATCGGCGCGCTGTCCTCTCCTCTCTCCTGAAAAGAAATAATAATTGATTTGAGTTCATTGTGTATAAACTTCATCCTTTCTTATTTCAAAGTAAAATAAACTGATCTTAACTAAATAAATTTGCTATTATGGACCACAATCATTTTTCGTCACACCCACAAATCTTCTGTTTGGTCGTTTTATTCTTGGGTTTCAGGCAAAGGTTTCCTCCCTGATTTGAACGATTTGCTGTGACAATGGTCCTGTTGTTATAGTAACTTTATATCTGTTGAATTGTGAAATGTCCTCAAAATGGAGCTGAAACTACACTACCAGACAAAAGTTTTAGAACACCCTCATTTTTCCAGTTATTTATTGCAATTCAAGTCGTGCAAAGGGAAGAACTGAACAGACAGAGGTTAAAAAAAAGGTAAAAAATAACAAAATACAAGCCCAAGCTCTGCCAAAACTACCTCAGGAAAAAAGAACAAGATGGTAAAACTTGAAAACATGAAGTGTCCAGCAGCACAGTGTCGAAACTTAAACCCCATCGAGCTGGTTTGGGATGAACTGGACAGAGGAGTGAAAGACAAACAACCTACAAGTGCCACACATTTATGAAAACTTCTGCAACAGACTTGGGAAGAAGTAAATGGTAATTAGAGCGCTCGCTGGATCACCGCTGAAGTAAATAATAAGCGATCAGGTGCTCTTCGGAGATCCCAAGTGGGCAAATGACTTACTGGATGAAAAAAGGAGATCCAAGGCAGTCCAATATGCTTTGTTATGATTTTATTTCATGTCACACGCAACTTGGGAAGAACTTTGTGAAGAATATTTGATTTCTATTGTAAAAAGAACGAACCATGAATGTGTTCAGCTGTTACATCTGCCAAAGGTGAACACACTTTCATGAATCAAAAGTTTAGAATATGTTTCAGTCAACAGTAAACAGCAAAAAAATTTAAAAACTGTGGTGTTCTAAAAATGCATAATATCACAATCACTGCAAAATTAGAATATGGAGAATAGTGTCTATAAATGAAATCATTCAAATTGACTGCGAAAGAAGCTGCGTATGTATCCCAAACAAGGGTATAACGTGATATTTCTGTACTTTTGTGGTCAATTCTATGGTCTGTATGAGTGATACATGATCCTCAGCAAATACATTTACAAGCACATTTAAGCAGATTACTAATACTTTTTAAAAAATATCATCTGAATGTTGTGATCATAATATTGGCAAAAACAACAAAAACAACAAGCTTGTACTAACTTTGCACTTCAAAAAACAATATAAAAATCAAATCTTACAGAAATACCTAGAAGACGAGATCCATTATCTTCAAAAGTAAACCACAGCTATTAATTATATTATATTATCATAATTTTCATTATCTTTTATCTTGATACGATCATGAATGATCAATTTTGTGCCTTCTTTATCATTATTATTATTTTGTACGACCATAAACGAAAACCAAAAAAAGGCATCTTTAAAAAACTGAAGATAAGAACTAAGAAAAAAAGTGATTGTATTTCTGTTAGAGGGATGGGTATTTGGAAACATCTGAGTGATGATTTTAAAAAGAAAAATATAACACTGTAGAAGCCTTTAAAAAAAAAAAGTATAAAGCATTATGTAAAGATATAGAGCTCTGGAATGAATGAATTTGTTTGTTTGTTTGTTTTTTATTTTGTCTCTTATATATGCAGTAAGTCATAAGTGAAATTGTAAATGAAAACTTGCTGTTCATACGCCGCTTTTCTTTCTTTCTTGGAATTCTGTCATTGTTTAATAGGGTTAATAGGGCATTTTAAGTACTTTTACTTCAGCTTAAACCCTTTTGGTCACGATCCATGGGGTTGTAGTTTATGTTTTGTTTTGTTTTGTTTTGTAGTGCTGCAAAATGACCAAATAAACTACTTCTACAGTCAATATCATCCACCTCAGGCTGAAACCCATGAATATAAAGATTAATACAGACACTCAGGTACCAATAGTGAAAACCAGGCACTGTTCCAAGTACCAAGTGGTAAAAAAAAATGCAGTATTATTGGTGTATAAGTCCACAGTACCTCTTTGTGCACGTGTGTGATGGCCGTGGCCAGCTCCAGTCCGTCCAGCAGGTTGTTCCCGTCGTAGTCGTGCATTTTAAAGTAGTGCAGCTGCAGCTCCTGAGGCGTCATGTCTTTCTCTGGTTTGTCGATCACACCCTCCAAATGCTCCATGATGTGACTAAAGACAAAAGATCGTAAAGCCTAAATATCTCCTCAGACATACAGACAACAGGCAAATTTATTAGGTCATCATCCCAATTCTCCAGAGATAAGATAAAATGTGTCAGAAAATGTTCAAGTATTGTACAAATGTGGATAAATTAGACACACACTTTATTTTTTTGCAGCATAATTGTAGGAGGATGAAGTAACACTGGACCAAAGTTCCTTTTTAACCCCGAAATCCAGAGTTATTTTAACATTTTGAGAGCAAACAGATAACACTTTGTAGAGTTATTCTGATTTAGCTAAACAACACACAGGTGTTTTATTTTATTTTTAATTCATTTTAGTTAATTTAAGATGAAATTATGTGCAAAACTGGTTCAAACTGGTCTTCTCTCACAAGAGTTTGAAGTGGTGAATGGGAGGAGCCAAATTAACACTAAGAGACGTTGAATTAACACTAGAGAAGTTGATTTAACACTAAGAGAAGTTGAATTAACACTAGAGGAAGTTGAATTAACACTAAGAGAAGTTGAATTAACACTAAGAGAAGTTGAATTAACACTAGAGGAAGTTGAATTAACACTAAGGGAAGTTGAATTAACACTAGAGGAAGTTGAATTAACACTAAGGAAGTTGAATTAACACTAAGGGAAGTTGAATTAACACTAAGAGAAGTTGAATTAACACTAAGAGAAGTTGAATTAACACTAGACACTAGAAGTTGAATTAACACTAAGGGAAGTTGAATTAACACTAAGAGAAGTTGAATTAACACTAAGAGAAGTTGAATTAACACTAGAGGAAGTTGAATTAACCTCAACCACATCAACTCTGACAAATAACCCCAACTCAAACCCCCATTTAACTTTCAAATAATTAAAATAACAGTTTTGGTGTTAAAAACAACTCTGAAATATTTTACCCTAAAATTTTAACCCTCCAGTTTTTGCTGTGTGAATTCAGACTTTTAAACCAATACATTTCTACCTGAACCCAAGATTTAATACAAACTTATATTCAATGTTTGGGAGCGTCTGGGAGATTTAGAGCATGTTTTTAGACACTGTTTTTCTGTATTTGAAAGTCTAAAGTCTAAATATTTTCTCAAACATATCACACCTATCGTTTCTTTTAGTATTACAGCCATAATTATTGTGCTCTAATAAATGTGTTAATGACCAAGTAAAGGCCATAAGTAAAACTATTTCTATGATTACCGGTATGTATATTTTCTGTTGAGGCGTCTACCACCTGCTTGTCTCCATGATCCAAAGATGTTCATTTTGTCTTCTTATGTACTTTAACTTCTTGTTGTGTCCTGTGTAACTTCTTCTCGTATTTTTTTATTTTTTTTTGAAGACAATACAGTAGAGTGTATTTACCTTGTTGACATGTTTCGGCTGCTGTTGTTGTCATCTTCAGAACTGTCCTCGGTGTTCGTGGTGATGTGTCGTATATCAGCTGTTGTTACTTCCTGTAGGCGTGGTCGCTCAGACTGACCACGCCTCCCGTCGCCCGATGTTCTCTGGAGGAGGGCGTCCCAGGTGTGTGAAAGGAGAAACGTGCCATCATCCTGGTTAATGCTGTCCGTGCCTCGTTTCCTGATTTCAATGGCCTCCCTGATCCAGCGTTTGAACTTGTTGTTTTCCGATCCAATGACCCGAGCCCCGTCCCAAACCATGATGTGTTTATTCTTTTACAGTGGTCTGATTTGGCGGATTTTAGGTTTTCCTGTTCTGCTTTGTCTTTTTGTGTTCTGGTGAGTCTCCTTGACGTTTCCTTTTCGCATTCCTTTGGTGTCCTGAATGTGAAATGCCCGGCCAGTTTCCGCTATGTATGATTTATCGCATGATTTACATTGGATTTCGTATATGACGTTGCGTTTTATATAACCGCATTAAGGATTGGGACGGGGCTCGGGTCATTGGATCGGAAAACAACAAGTTCAAACGTTGGATGAGGGAGGGAAACGAGGCACGGACAGAATTAACAGTGATGATGGAGCGTTCCTCCTTTCACACACCTGGGACACCCTCCTCCAGAGAACACCGGGCGACGGGAGGCGTGGTCAGTCTGAGCGAAACTGCCAGGTCCATCAGGCTGACCACGCCGACAGGAAGTAACAACAGCTGATATACGACACGTCACCACCAACACCGGGGACAGAGTTGAAGATGCAGCAGCCGAAACATGTCAAAAAGGTAAATACACTTTACTGCATTGTTTTTAAAAGAACTCAAGAAGTTAAATTTGTCTCCATGATGTTATACTTTGCCCAGAATGTTCCTCAGTTTGCCTTTAAATGTATTTCTCTTCATGAAAACCAGCAGATCACAACCTGAAGCCAAGTTACAGGTCAGATCCGTGGAGAGGCGAGTCTGCTCACAATAGGAATACATGTTTTTCAAGGTTTAAGAGCTAAAAACTGTGTGAAGGAGAGGTTTCACAGGTCTTTCCTTCCCGCAGCTGTCAGACTGTACAACAAACACTGTTAACACTGAACATGTGCCATTCAACTATCTATGTGAAATTATTTTTAAGTCCATTTTTAAATAATTTTTAAGCCATTATTTATTATCTGTTTTATTGCATGTTACCTTTCTCCTGCTGTTCTTGAATTGCACGTTGCAACACTGGAATTTCCCCACTGTGGGACTAATAAAGGCATATCTTATCTTAAAACATTTGGAATAAATGTAAGATCGAAACATTTATTACCATACAGTGGCAAAAAACCATGAAGACAAGCGCCTGTAAAATGGAATATAGTAGAAAAATACAGCAGGGTAATAATTTGGTTCAATCTTCTTTCTTCTTTGGTTTAAGTTTGAGTGTGATTTAGTTCTGAAATTTGTAGATTTTCATTCTGAGATGCAAAACTAACTTAAGAGACAGTGTTCCTGAATTGATTAAATAAAATTACAGGTTCATAACAAATTAATATTTTAATGTCGACTGTTAAACTAGCAGAAGATCTCACTGTCACTTTGATATGTCAGTGTGTTATAAAGTTCACTCGTTTGTTTACATAAGGCTTGATTTCACTATCACTATCACTGGTTACTCACTCTTGATCCTGAACCATGTTTTTATCGAATCGGCCGTGAGTGGGGACGTGGCCTGCACTCTCCCCAGCCGCTTCGCCCTGCTTCTGCTCATGATGATCCCCGTGAGCGTGAACGGTCAACAGGAAACAGCACAGGACCACCCAGAGCCCCCCGGACAGCGGAAAAGACCTCCTCATACTGTAAAAAAAAAAAAAAAAAGACAGCGACAAAATCAAAGTTATTAAGTCATCAAGGAATTTAATAATATCATCCCAATTCTCCAGAGATAAGATAAACTGTGTCAGAAAATGTCTTAGTTGAGAAGGAGGTTCAAGAATTGTGCAAATGTGGATAAATTAGACACAAACTTTTTTTTTTTTTGCAGCATAATTGTTGTCATATGTTCGTTATTATCAGAATAATCATTTCTGCAAATGAATTAAGACTTTAACAGCCAATAAATTTCTATCTGAACACCAGTTAAGATTTAATACACACTTATATTCAATGTTTGGGAGCATTTGGGAGATTTAGGGCTTATTTTTAGACACCGTTTTTCTGTATTTTACCTCTCATCTTTAGCCAAATTATTGCTTTGTGCATGCATGGCAATAAATCGTTACAGATATCAACATAAGTCTATTGACAGGTTGTTTTGATCCTGTAACATAAACAAGAAATAACGACGCAATGCAAATATTACTAATTAAACAAGAATAACTGGGTAAATTTAGCCTCAAGCTTGTTTAAACCATTTTGTTTACTCAAATCTTGACTAGTGTCGTGATTCAGTCCGTGCGTCAGCGTGTCTAGTTTACAGCGTGGAGGCAGACTGAAATGTTAGAATAAATACCGTAAAAAAAAAAAAAAAAAAAAGTATTAAAACAATGTTATCTTACCTGATCAGGAGAGAGTTGTGTTATTGAACTACAAGTGGACGATTTCTGCTTTTTGGACCTCGTGTCTCGCCGTCAGGGACTGGGACACGACAGCTCACTGTGATTGGTCAAACGAATCAAAGAGTGTGAAAGAGACAAGATAGGAGCTCAAATTACGAACGCATAAACGCTTGAGGAAACAATAAATAAATAAAGCAAATACACACATAAATTAATTAATTCACGCATATTTATGAATGGATTTGGTATTTTATGACATTTTGGGCTTGTCTTTAGCTTTTCAGAGCTTAGACCCGACAACAGAGAAGGCCCTTTGGTTTTAAGTCTCGTTTTAGGCAACACCAGCTGGAGCTCGGTTGTTAGGTAGAAAACAGTAAATTTCGCTTCTTTTGTTTTTTGTTTGTTTATTTCTAGGCCAAAATCTATGAATGGAAATCAAGCATCTATTACACATTGATATGATAACGATAAATTTATTCAGATTACATAAGTTCACATAAATGGTAAATGATAAATTGCATTATCATGCAGTAATCAACAGATAGTTATTTTTACAATTATTTTTGCAGTTATTTTACATTGCTAATCACAAATATAATCCCCAAAAAATAAAATAAAAATAAATATCAATCATTCCAATTTACTTGTAGACTATCTGATAAACCTTGTTCAACTACCTTTACAAAACGAAAATGCCAAAGAACTAGTAATTTTGGCAGTTGCAAGAAATTTTCTATGTGAATCTTTACATGGGGCACAGTTACATGCTTATAAAACATTATATATTTATTAGTGTGCAAAGTTAGGCACCAAAATGATACGTTTATAAAGATATTAGGCATTTCATTCATAAAATTTTAATTATTTGGCACAATATGTATAATTTAGTCCCTTGGAAGTACTTGGAAGAGGGTGGAGAGCTCCTTGTTGCTTTCGAGAAGGTTGGAGACCCCTGTTGTAGCCTGTAAGCACTATCCTTTGCATTGCACTATCTTGTCTAAATAAACCCTCTTTGTCTTGTGTCAGTGTCTGTGTTTCGCCAGCAGGGGGCGGTACACGGGCTGAGCGGTTCTCCTCCGGCAGGGCGCATGGATCTGCACCATGGCCGGGTGTCACTGGGCTGCAGGAGAGATGTCCCGACGCTTCTCTCTGTCCGATCCGGAAAAGTCGCCGACTGCGAAAGAAAATGACGGGCCCATGTCTCTGTTCAAACGGCTGGAGGTTATTTCACTGTTTTAAAGATTGTAGAAAGTCCCTGAATAGCTCTTTAGTTAGTCTCCACAGTGACCAAATCCCCCCGTGCGTGTTTACGTGCAACCTGTAGCCTCCTGCAGCCATGTGTGTGTCTCCAGGTAAAACCCCACAACATGCAACAAATGAGCATTTTCTGCAATTAAAAACGCCAAATGTCTTTAACATCAATTAAATCTAATGCAGAATGATCAGTTTAATTAATTGACTCAAGAATTTGATCAGTCACAATGCTGTTATGTGGTACAGTTAGACCTATTTTCATAAGAAATATCACAATTTTATGATATTTTACCATTTAATCGTGACCAAATGGCATAGTGAAATCCTCGTCCATAGATCACCTAAAATGCTGTTATTCTTTTTTTTTATGACTATGTGGTGGAATAAAACACCACAATTACCACTTAATGTTAGTAAAAAATCAAAACAAAACTCGAAAATGACTAAAACAAAAGCATGGTTCATTCATGTTTGTTTTTATAGGCCTATTGTCAGAAGAAATATCAACATGTTTATGATATTTTACCATAATCGTGAGAAAACGACGTAGTAAAATTTTATTATTGCAATTTTTATGAATATACTGTGCAATAAAACACCACAAATACCACTTAATGTTAGTAAAAAATCAAAACAAAACCCAAAAAATGACTAAAACAATCCTTGTCCTTGTCTATAGATCACTTAAAATGTTATTATTGCATGTTTTATGAATATATTGTGCATTAAAACACCACAATTACCACATAATGTTAGTAAAAAAACAAAACAGAATTCGAAAATGACTAAAACAAAAGCATGGTTCATTCATGTTTGCTTTAATTGCACTTAAAAAACTAAGAAAACTTGCATATTTACTCTGATCAGGCTTGCATCTCCACAAACCTGACCCTTATATTTGGCATGGATGAGGATTTTCTGCTTTTGTCTGTGGAATTGTAGTTCCTTTGGCTGTAGTATGTCACATTATGAAGTAAAGTGTATTTATCTCCGTGAAAAAGGTTCCCATATGCTTTTAACTTTCTATTTTCATGGAATCATAGTTTAGTTTAGTTTATTTATTTACTTTTATACACTACATACTATCACTTTAACCTAATTATCTGGGCATGCCTAAAGTTGATGTTCGCCAGTGAAGCAGCAGTAGCTCTTGCGAGTATTGTTGCTCTTGTTTTTGAGCTCGTCCTGATCCTGTTAAAGTGTTAGTGTTTAAAGATTATCATGGCGGCTCAGAGCTGCGCAGGCCCACACTCTTTTACTCACAGCAGCGGCACAGATCAAGCCCTCTTCAAATGCCATGCGCTTTTCAAACACTGACCTTTCCCAACCAAAGCCCAGTGAAAAGCAACGGAGCAGGTTCAATATTCACTAGTACACCAAACTATAAAGGTGGTAAGACTTTTTTTTAGACAGATTTGAACATCTGACCTGCAGTAGTTTCAATTGGTTGGTCCAGAAAACACAAAGTTAACAGCAGAAGAGAATTATAATTACAAACATGGAGAAATTCACTTGTTATGGCAACTTCGATGTCCCTTTTTACCCGGGACAGACCCAGTTTTGAGCCCTGTGTCCCCTGTCCCAGCAGATTTATCCAAAAACCATTTATTTGTCCCAGTTTTATACAAGAAATGTCCCACATGTCCCTATTTTTGACCAATTTGATCCCTACCAACACTAAAGTGAGGCATAAATTGTCACTTCTTTAGGTAAAATACAGAAACCCTGCTTAAAAATGTGACTATATTGACTTATGAATGGGCAGAGTGCAGAACAATTTTCCTTAAATACACAATCGTTTCACAGTTTTATTATTACAAACCAAAAGAAACAGAAAACGCACACTAAAATTCATGTAGAGGAGCAGCAAGACAAAAGCGAAAAAATGCACAGCACACTCAGATGGCTGATGTCCAAAAGCTTTTTATTTTTAAATAACGTTTCGGCAACAAAAAAAAAACTTTTGTCAGTATATTTTCTTGCTTTGGACCACATTAATTTTACCAACCACCACAAACCAGGGATGTCCCATTTTTTTTATTTTGAAAATCTAGCCACCCTGTTCATACTCACTCTGATACTTCGCAGGGACATCGCGCTGGGCTTGTTCTACTACATGTATGTCTAATGGTGGAATGTCTAGCAGTTACCGTGGTGACATAATGCACACATTGTACGCCTAAAATGTTTAAAATAGATTTAAATGGCACAATTTTAGGAGCCTGTGCATAAGGGCTGTGCAAAAATATTGACATATCAATATATTGTATCGTTTAATGTGATGATACAATATCGATATCGTGGGCTGTTGTATCGATATATCGCCAATAGTATTTTTTGGTATATTTTACAAAATTATTACAGTTTTGTTGCATTGTTTAGTGGAAGGAAATTCATTCATGCGACACATTTGACATTTTCACTGTTTTGATGATTAAAATGTTTTTGTTTCATATGAACTTTGCACAAAAATTGGTTCAACAAAGACTTTTAGTTTCATAGCCACAATTTAGACATTATTTTTTATTGAACCATATCGAATCGATTTGAAATATATCATATCGAACCAGCCAATCAGTGAAGAGTCATACATTCTGTGTTGGCAACGATTCCCGAGATCGAGGATTTAAAGCCGGAACAAAGAGAATGTTTGGTGAATTTTATCAAGGGGAAAGACGTTGTTGCCCTTCTTCCTACGGGATTTGGCAAAAGCTTAATATACCAGGTAGCCCGTTAGCGGCGCATTACATACATCATGACCAAATAGGAGCGATTGGTTAAATAAAAACAAGTACCTGCCTACCGTCGAGCGAACAAATCTTAATGCTGCGAGGTCAGACAGTTTCTACAAAGTGAAACCGGCTGATGAATCAGGCTTTATGCTGCTCTACAAAGGAAAAAGTCCAACCAAAAGTCTGCGCTGACAATTAAAGTAGGAAAAATGGCTTCCAAGTTTCGATGTTTTCCCTCTTGTGTGTGTCAGAGGTGCATTAATGATCACGTGTGTTTATGTTACCAGATGATGAAGTAATATTTATCAATCACAACCATCGCCACAGATTTTACCTTTGACATCTAAAAGTAGAGTTGAAGTACAGAAAATGAAATAGCGTGGGGAGATCTTTTACTGTCAAAAAACTTTCAGTATTCTAGTTTGTGTTGAATAAGAAATTGTGATAGTTTCAAGTCTGTATTTTGTCCCATTTCAGAATTAGAGAAGAAAACATGTTTCAGTATCTGTGCGTTGTGCAAAACTCTCCTGTAAAACAACAGAAAAGTGAAGTATCTGTGTATCTGTGCTTCAGTTCGTAAGTTACAACATTTGTCGCTGCTGTAAATACACGTTTCCTTTGTATCACTTAAGAAATTGTAGTTACTTCACATTTCACGTCAAGATTTCTCAAGATTTCAGGTCAGATTGGGTTAAAATAAAACAGATTAAAGCCTCAGACAGAGCAAAGTATCAATATATCATCAAATGTAAAGAAAGAAAAAGTTTTGGATAAAGGAGCAGACATGGGCTCATCTAATCTAAGACGAGTTATAACAAGAATGCAATTTATATAATATTAAAGACAACGCAAATACTGGGCCAGGACTAAAAAGATCATATGCATAAACTGTTACCATGTGAACCATATTAAAGGGGATTGATAAACCAAAAGTCAATAATAATTTCCAAACATTCTTGATCTTATAAACCATCGTTGCAAAACACGTAAAAGTCCATCACAAATAAATGTTTTGTTGCCAAGGGAGTCGGCCTGTAACTGCGATTGTGTTCTCAGGGCATTGGCGTGGACTGCGCACACAGGCCGCGGTGTTAAAAGAAGAGCTTTGTGTCGGACTCA